CATATGAAACTCACTGGTTGCTGTCACAGGACAGCCATTCATTCCTGATTACCCAATCAACTTTTTCAAGTTTACCATTTTTACATTTTTTTTACCCAATGTATAGCACTTCGTTGCCATGGCTATTACCACAATCTGTATTCAGTGATAATACTTTTAATTGGAGGAACTCCTATGGAAATCAAAAATTCAATCATGCTGTGTTGCTTAAAGCACACCAAGTACATAGGTTTCCACTTTATGAATAATAGTAATATAATCTTTTCACTCAGCAACTTTCTACCAATTCAGTGTTTCTCAACCTTGACAATTTTAAGGCATGCGGACTTCAATTCCCAGAATCCCACAGCCAGCAATGCTGGCTGTGGAATTCTGGGAGTTGAAGTCCACATGCCTTAAAATTGTCAAGGTTGAGAAACACTGTACCAATTGAAGTGAAAGAACAAGTGCTAAAGAATACAGTAAAACTTCTGTCATGTTAGTACTGCAATGAGTTGGCAATTTATAACATTGAAGGCATTACTTTTCATTCACCCTTTGCAATTTGTTTGCAAATCATATTAATTACTAATAGTATTTCTGAACTTGATACCTGAGATATCAATATGGTTGAAACAGAATTTAAATTATGCTTGCATTATGATTATGTTAGCATTGGGGGAGGTTGATAAGCATTTAAGTGAAATATATTGTAAATAACATCTAAACTATTCAGTTGTTTATTTTATTTAGTCAAAGGAATAATTATTTCTATAACATGGTATTCTGTTACTATGGAAGAGAGAACTAGTTCTGATTTTACTTCCCACTATATTTCAAACCTAGAAGGCAAAATCATGAAACCGCATCTTACTTACTTTGGGCCATGTTATGCAGGGGAATTCACTGGAGAAAGCAATTATGTTTGGAAGAGTTAGTGGTAAAAGGAAACCAGGCCATCAAAGAATATAGTGGCTGGACACCATCAAAACTGACACTAGTCAAAAGATAGAAAAAGTCAAATAGTGCAAGATTGGAAGATGTGAAGAGACCTGGCCCATAGAATCGCCAAGAGTCGAACTTAATTGAACAGGTAATATTATCATTATCATATTTCAAATTGTTTTGTATTGTATATGAGTTGACAGTTCATTAGGCTTATATTTATAACAGAAGGTTGCATATTTTGCAGGAAGTAATTGGCTCTGCTATAACAAGTTACCACTTACATTCCATTCTTGCATTAATACTGCTACAAAATGAAAAGTTATGTTTAGTTTCCTTAAAATGTGTTCTGGTTTTCATAAAGAGGAAATTTGGTTTAGTTCAAGAGTAGGCAGCTACTGTCATCCAGTTATTTTAACTTTTATCAACTTCAACCTACATAAGTCCTGTTTATAATGGTAAATAGCAAACAGAGTTACAGAATATAACGTTTCCTATCACAGAATGTTGGTACAACACAAAATGGATCATTTTCCATTTGAACCAAACACAAAAGCAGACATGAAATAAAATAACAGGTATTACCTTCTGCAATCACAACCATGACAATCAGCTCATCCCAAGATTTATATAACAACCATTGCGTGTTCAATGTTTTTCTAGAAAATGAGTTAAAATAGCACAGGAGACCTCCTTGGGCAAGGCTTGCTAATTTCATTCTATTAATATGAAATTGCCATCACTCTATGCTTGAACTAACTTCCAAATACTTGTCCTGGCCTGGAGGCTATGCAGGATTGCAATCTAACTTCAGCTAAGAATTCTATACTTTGCACGTCGGTTCTTCACAATGATTTTTAAATGATTTTGACATGTTTACTCCTGTTATATGTGGTGTTTTATTTTTTCCTAACTAATTTCCATAAATTGCATTATATTAATTTTTCTTCTCTGAAGAAAGTCACTCTGCTTTAGCTCTGGAAATATATGAACACTCACATATATTCATGTCAATTTTCCAACAGCATCTTCATTTTCAAATGTTGTTCTTTCATTTTTGCTGACTATATAAAACAACTGACCAAGCCTCAAAAAAGCTGTAATTCTCCCTACAAAGGACAGCAATGCTGCTTTGAGGAATAAAGTTTAATCAAGACTTTCTTAGCAGCAGCTCATAGATGATAGTTCCCATTTGGAACTCTGCTTTATGACTAAGAATCTGTAAACCACCCTTTCTCCACTCGGGTCCTGTGGAACACTACAGCTCTACAAGGAGTTCTGTGGGAAACTGTAAGTGAAGAAGTTTGTATATGTTTTCTGATTTTTATGCTGGGGTTCCCTAAGACCTGAAAGTTATCTTACAAGTTCCTCCAGGGCAAAAAAGCTGGGAAAAACTAATTTCAGTTAATAGTTATTTTGTAGATACCCATTTTTTTATATATTTATTCATTTTAAACTTTCTAAAACAATATTTAAAAGGCATTTGTGAATAAGAGACATAGAGACATATTTATTGAAATAATTCACTTTTTTATCTTCCCTTTTATCGCTAAAGAAGTGATATAAAGTTACTTGATATTAAATAAGCTGCTAATGACATGATTAAAAACCAGTATCTTAAACTGACTCAGTGCCAAATTTTCATAAAAATATATAAGTCCACAACAAAGCCGTATGCAGAGACTATGATTTACTGAGCTGTAGATGCATTTGGAAATAGCCAAACTAAAAGAAAGATATGGATATAATCTGATTACAATCTGCTATTTTATCCATAAAACATAAAATGAGAATTGCATAGCAATTTGAATTTTTTGATAACTTTCGCTGAAACATAATCAAATATATCATCACGTACCATGTTCCTTAAATGACAGACCTTCAAGTATAATATTATCTGTGGATAACTTCATTTTAATTCTTCCAAATTAAGCTGATTTCAAAAATATGGTTGTTGCCCTTAACAACATAACATTCAATAAGCAACTGCTATTATTTAAATCTATCCAATGGAAAAAATGGGCACTTTTTGAAAAAGTTGGGCAATATTTGCATTTTTATAGAGGACATATAGTATGCCTTATAGCAATAAAATCTGCCAGAAACATGTTTTTACTTTGTAATACTTAATAATTACAAGCTGGTTAATCTTTTATAAGGAACATATGTAGTTATTTGAATCATAAATATTTAAGCATCAAGTTACTATTTTATTCAACCGGGTCTGAATCAGAACTACAGTATTTAGACATAATGAGTTAGATTTGGTGAAGCTCCCCCTCGGGTCTGGGATTGCTTCAAAGCCCTATCTAGGGTATTTTTGTTCCATCAAATTCCCCATTTCATTCCAATGAATTTATTTTTAGCTAACACATATGACAGCAGTCTAGATTTCTTGCACAGCTATTCCAACTATTTCTCCCAATGTAGGCTTTTGTGTTGCTGTCATGAAGTTCTATCATCCATTCCCGTATCCCTAACTGCCATGAATCATCCACTGCAATATCCCCAATTAGATTAGATTAATGTTCATTATCTTTTACTATAATTATTTTTGTTTCTTCCTCTTATCAATATCCAAACATCTTGTATCACTTCTGTCCCTTACTACTGAAACAGAAAGATTTGTAAAGACTAAAGTGTAAAACCTAATTAGATTCTTACATATACCTGCTCATAAGATATCATTATAAAATTGAACAAAGAGCATCTTCTAACAGAAATTAAAAGACATCTAAGCACTACCAATATAAATAAATTCACTGTACAGTATTATAACAAACATACAAGAAGACCCTTAATAGACATGAATGGCAAGTTTTAAGAGTCCTCTTAATATAAGCAAGACAGAGCTCACTAACCTTCCCTCAAACAGTGGTAGGAGTCCTGATTCAAACCTGCATTCTTTACATCCTTTAATACAATCTCTGCAAATGGCACAATTCCACCATAATTAGGTTGGAGAGTTTTTATTTTGTCCAGCATGTTGAAGAAAATCCCAGGATCAGAATATTCCCTCAGGGTTGTGCAGAGTTGTTAAACTTAAGTAAAGACCAATATATATGGCTCAAAATGTCCCGTTGAACCTTTGCTCTTGCGTGCCAGTTTATAGCTTGAAGCTGAGCTCACACTGGGGTTAAGCAGATAAAAGAGACAGATACATCTAAAACGTAGACATCTGAAGATCAGAATCAATAAGCTTCTGGCCAAACTCTTGTCGGCAGCAAGTTCAGGCAGAGAAAAGTCTTTCTTTCATTATGGAATGTATATGCACGCATGCAGTAATGAGACTGAGCCTCAATCTTCACAATCAACACAATGACTGATGGAACGTTTCATGAAGCTATATGCGCTAACGGCCAACCTCATTCACCCAAAATAGTATGCAGTTGGTTTCTCTACTCAGAGCTCAAACATTTGCCAAGCCAGCAACACTATGTGATACAGTTCCAGCCTTCTTTGTTTCCAAATCTAAAACTTCAATGTCCACAAAGATGACATGGAAACTTGGGATCAACAAACTTCAAAACTACCTAATCCAAACTTAACTAATATTAAATTATAGCATCTGGAGTAAAGCCACTAAACTAAGTTAAATAAAAACATAACTTACTAAATTCTTTGCACAACTATTGTACAAAGAATAGTTTACTCTTAAATATTACAATACAACTGAGCCATTGTATCAGTAATATATTATACAACAGTGTTTCTTAATGTGTGGTGCTAGGACCCTGGGGGCAGAGACTCTCTTAGGGGTTACAAAATCAAAATTATTTGCCTGCCTATGTTGAAAATAGTATTAAAATCTTATCAATCATGAGAGCACCAGCAAATGTATCAATTTTAATTTTTAATATGGTAAATATTGATAACTGAAACAAAAGCTCTTCTGGAATCCTCCATAATTTTTAAAAGTTGGTATGATCTTGTGGGGAAAAAAATTAAAGAAACTCTAATCTATAATAACAGAATGAGTTCTAAATTTATTTCAGACCTATTAAGTTCCACCTATGGAATGCTTCTGGACATGAAAAACAGAATTGCAAGCATCTTTACATCTTTCAAGATTTCACCTTTAATAGTTCCATGAATAAAAATATTACACTCCTCTCCTTCGGGCCAATCTGTAAAATAAAAGAATAAAAATAAAAGCTCTACATAATTATTTAACCTAAAAGAAAATAATCATATATCCAGAGTACTTTTAAATATTCCTTACAACTTTTTAAAAAAATTTCCGAAGAATTATCTAGTACACTCTACTTTGGCAAAGGTTGTCATTAAATCTTTGCACAAATATATGTAGGCTTTTGAGTTGCTAGGTTTGGGTTACAACATTTAGCAGCATTTCACTTAGAAAGTAAGAAATAATAACTACAAATATAATGCTCTAGCACAGTGGTTCTCAACCTGTGGGTCGGGACCCCATTTGGGGTCAAACGACCATTTCACGGGGGTCGCCAAACAAGGCTGTCTGCCATTTTTTTCCCCTTTTCTTTGGCCACGCCCCTGGCACCCGGTGATGTATAAGTGGTTGGGGGTCACCACAACATGGGGAACTGTATTATGGGGTCGCGGCATTAGCAAGGTTGAGAACCACTGCTCTAGCAAAATAATTTCTTAAACAACTGCCTCTACAAAGGAAAGAAGGGAGCAATTTCATCCTTAGGAAATTTCCAGTCTGTCTCTAGGGACAAAGAGATGTTATTGCTGAACAAGAACAAAGTATTTGCCCCTTTTAAATTTCAGATTGAAAACCCCAAATATATAAGGCTTCTCCCAATAATTACACTCTGATTACTATAAAAACAAGAGGGAATACATGTATTTCTCATTGAACAATCACAATTGGGACTGCAATTCAATCATTAAAAGATCACTAAGTAAAACTGGGACTGTGCTTACGAACTTACTTCAGTATTCCTTTGCTTTACAGACCTATGAAGATCATAATTTTTAGGACTGATAAAGTTTTTCATCACTGTTGTAACTCTGGTCATTAAATGAGGCAGCTGTTAAGCAAGGACTACCTGTACAAGTTTAAAGGCTTTCAATCTATCTTCATAGGAATTATTTAAGCTATCAGAAACTATTTCAACTTGGAATTTTTCCGTAAGTCATTTGGTCCTGATAACTTTTAGAATAAAATATTTAATATAACGTTTACTGTACATGCCTGCACAGAGTATGCAGTTTATTTTTCCTGACAACTGGCTGCAGCTGCTCAAGCAACTCAAGAGTTTCCTAGCAATGGTGGACAGGTGGCCAAAAAAAAACTTCTCTCAAAGCAGAAGAGACAATCAGCTTGGGAATCTGCATTTCTGCCTAAACACTGAAACATTCTGCAGCGGTTCCTACTCTCCTAACAGACTCGCATGTACAGACCATATATTTTTGCCAGTGTCTGTTTCTTCTGCATAAACTTTGCTTTAAATACCATGAAGTATAGATGCAGGAATAGAAAATGAGTTAACCACAGTAATTACTACTATAAGCATAAGAAGGGAAGGGAAGGGAAGGGAAGGGAAGGGAAGGGAAGAGAAGAGAAGAGAAGAGAAGAGAAGAGAAGAGAAGAGAAGAGAAGAGAAGAGAAGAGAAGAGAAGAGAATTATATTCTGGAGGCAAATGGCTTCCCTATCTCATCCCAGTACTGTACTTGTGATTACTAAAAATATATCTAATAACTAATAAGATGTTTGAGCAATCTAATAAATTGTCAAAAATATAATTTAATGTTCAAGTACACTATGTCCAATGAAGATGACAATCAATTAAGAAGTCACTCTGAATTACTGTTCCAGATTTTGCCAAGAACATTTGGATATATAAATGCTTATTAAGTCTCAGAGATAGACACAATTGTATGTGAAAGTTCAGTTAAGATCAACCAGCGTGAATCCAAGAAGCTGTTTGAGGACATATCCCCCCTCTCTTGAAAATTTAACAGTGTTTTGCTTTCAGAATGTACCATTTTTTCTTACAAGATAATAGAGAACTTAAAAACAAGCAGTCAAAACCACATTGTTAAAACATTATTCTTAACCAATCTACTCCTTTTATTTTTTCCCCCCACTCTTCTGAGAATCATATACAGTGGGGCAAAAAAGTATTTAGTCAGCCACCAATTGTGCAAGTTCTCCCACTTAAAAAGATGAGAGAGTCCTGTAATTGTCATCATAGGTAGACCTCAACTATGAGAGACAAAATGAGAAAACAAATCCAGACAATCACATTGTCTGATCTGGAAAAAATTTATTTGCAAATTATGGTGGAAAATAAGTATGTGGTCAATATTAAAAGTTCATCTCAATACTTTGTTATATATCCTTTGTTGGCAATGACAGAGGTCAAACGTTTTCTGTAAGTCTTCACAAGGTTGGCACACACTGTTGCTGGTATGTTGGCCCATTCCTCCATGCAGATCTCCTCTAGAGCAGTGATGTTTTGGGGCTGTCGCTAGGCAACATGGACTTTCAACTCCCTCCAAAGGTTTTCTATGGGGTTGAGATCTGGAGACTGGCTAGGCCACTCCAGGACCTTGAAATGCTTCCTACGAAGCCACTCCTTTGTTGCCCGGGCGGTGTGTTTAGGATCATTGTCATGCTGAAAGACTCAGCCACGTTTCATCTTCAATGCCCCTGCTGATGGAAGGAGGTTTGCACTCAAAATCTCACGATACATGACCCCATTCATTCTTTCCTGTACACGGATCAGTCGTCCTGGTCCCTTTGTAGAGAAACAGCCCCAAAGCATGATGTTCATAGTAGGTATGGTGTTCTTTGGATGCAACTCAGCATTCTCTCTCCTCCAAACACGACGAGTTGTGTTTCTACCAAACAGTTCTACTTTGGTTTCATCTGACCATATGACATTCTCCCAATCCTCTTCTGGATCATCCAAATGCTCTCTAGCAAACCTCAGACAGGCCCAGACATGTACTGGCTTAAGCAGGGGGACATGTCTGGCACTGCAGGATCTGAGTCCCTGGCGGCGTAATGTGTTACTGATGGTTGCCTTTGTTATGTTGGTCCCAGCTCTCTGCAGGTCATTCATTCACTAGGTCCCCCCGTATGGTTCTGGGATTTTTGCTCACCGTTCTTGTGATCATGTTGACCCCACAGGGTGAGATCTTGCGTGGAGCCCCAGATCGAGGGAGATTATCAGTGGTCTTGTATGTCTTCCACTTTCTAATTATTGCTCCCACAGTTGATTTCTTCACACCAAGCTGCTTGCCTATTGCAGATTCAGTCTTCCCAGCCTGGTGCAGGTCTACAATTTTGTTTCTGGTGTCCTTCGACAGCTCTTTGGTCTTCACCATAGTGGAGTTTGGAGTGTGACTGTTTGAGGTTGTGGACAGGTGTCTTTTATACTGATAACAAGTTCAAACAGGTGCCATTAATACAGGTAATGAGTGGAGGACAGAGGAGCCTCTTAAAGAAGAAGTTACAGGTCTGTGAGAGCCAGAAATCTTGCTTGTTTGTAGGTGACCACATACTTATTTTCCACCATAATTTGCAAATAAATTCTTTCCAAATCAGACAATGTGATTATCTGGATTTGTTTTCTCATTTTGTCTCTCATAGTTGAGGTCTACCTATGATGACAATTACAGGCCTCTCTCATCTTTTTAAGTGGGAGAACTTGCACAATTGGTGGCTGACTAAATACTTTTTTGCCCCACTGTAAATAGAAAAAAAATAGCATTTTCTACCTTCACATGCTACCTGGAAGAATGAAGAAACATGCACCCCCTGCACTTCTTCTCTGGCATGATACTTTATCCAAGGAGGCCACCAATAAACCTTAGCTTGCCTATGGGGGGAAGGGGGTCAAATGTACTTTCAGAATCTCTTGGTTTCTAAGCCAGCATCTTCACCACTACACTAAACTGATAATTCCAGGAAAAGATGCATTTCATTAAAGGAGCTGCAAACAGATCTATGTTTGTACCTCTGGGCACTTCAAAATCCCTTTTCATTTTCAAGCTCAAACAACAATAATTTTTTATATACAGACCTCAATAACTTAGAGAGTAAATAAATCTGTTTTCTGTATGTTGTAAACACACATTAAAAATATTACATATGTACAAATTAATTACTTGGAATCCATTCCCTACATTGCCCTACTATCAGACTATTAATGTCATTTCCCCTAAAGATTTCTGATATAAGTCAATTCTATCAAGAGGCTTCAGGAATATTTTCCAATATTTTCTATTTATTGATTATTCTTCTTTACTTCCTTTTTTACAGTTTCGGGTGTTTAGGGAGATACAAAATTCTGGCTCTTGCTCTTCTGGCGGTCTCAATCATTATTAACTGAAGTTGTTATAGTATGTCTTTGATGTTGTTTCTTCATCTTCTTCTGAGTCTGCCCGCTGTTCTTTGACCTTCTCCTCTTTTTGTATATGCCTTGTATGGTATGAAATCCCATTCCACGTGAGCAAACCACTATTTGCTGTTTTTATATATAATTTAAGATTGGTTCTATGCCAATTCTTTCTCTCATGGTCTCATTTCTGATTTTATCTCTTCTGGTCACTCCAGCAGCTATTCTCAAGGAACTCATTTCTGTGATTAACTTCCATTTATGTTTTGTTGTAAGTATGCATGTTTGGTACTGGTAACATAGGGTGGGGGTGAATATGCTTTGTATGAAATGCTTCTTTGTGCTGATTGGTACTGCCTTATATTGTATGAGTGGAGCAAGGTATCCTAATACTTGGTTTGCCTTACTGCATCATATGTTAATCTCTTCATCCATTTTACCATCTTTGGTGAATGTTGTTCCTAGATATTTCAATTTTCATACTTTTTATGCTTGTTCCTTCTAAATACTATCTTTAGGGTATACTTTTTTCTTCCGATTGTTATTACTTCTGTTTTCTCTTTGTTGATTCTGGCATTCTTGATTCATGGCCATAAGATAATGTTGTAGTTTCATAGCTTTACTTGCTATCAATTCCCGATTATCTGCAAATAGCAGTTCATTGATATTATTTCCATTCTTGGGTTTGGCTTATTTGCTTATGCTGTCAATGTAGGTGATAAGCAATAGTGGTGATAATACACATCCGGTTTTACTCCAGATGTTACTGTGAAGGGTTCCAAAATTCTTTGGT